CTGAAACTGTCATACATGAAGGAATATATTTGTTCATTGTGATACGGATATAAATTGGCCAGTTTTCAAAAACAGACCAAACTAGATACCCAACAATAAAATCGTAGAAAAGAAGATACTATTCAAAAAATTAAATGTTTGTTGTAGAGATACAAAACTGAGGTGGTTAAAACTATACCTGCTTCCCTCTTTATCTTGTGCTACTTAATTCAACTGATTAAACATTTACATATTCAGACTAATACAAAAACACAAAAATTCCTAGGTTTTGACAAGATGCGTTATTCTCATCCACCAAGGTTAAAGTGCCATTGTTCATAATTGGGCCTGGTACATGTTCAGTATACTATTTAATGTGTGTTGCTTTGTATTCAAGTGTACAAACAGGGAAGGGCTTAGTTCCATATACGTATATGTGTATATGTAAAAATATTGCACACAGATGCACACACTCAGGCCTCACTTTGATAGCTTTTGCTGTGGCTTCTTGGTGATTTTTTTTTTTTTAACTATTTTTGATTATTTGGTATTTGTTGTGGCCTTTCACCATCATCCTGTGTAGTATTTCAGCATGAGCCCAAGACAGGCTAAGCAAGGCTTGAGTTGAAGTCTTAGGTGAGCCATACCACCTCTTTATTGTACTGTGGTTTCCTTATCTGTACAATGAGGGAGTCTTCAAGGTTTAATTCACTTCTATAATTATGGATTTATAGCACAGAAAAGCACCTCAGTGAATAGCTAGCACTGATAATGGAGGCTCAGAAATGTACTTTTGGGGATAGAGTATTATGTCCAGAATGAGAAGTTTTAAATGTTGTTCCATTTTCTTTAATTAATTAATCTATGTCACATAGATACTGAAAATCCCTGAAGTTGTCAGCCTGGACTGAAGCTGAGGTTAGGAAGGAGAAGAGACTATTGTCAAGGAAGTGCATCTAAATCCATCCACTCCCATTGTCCCCTTCATTGTTGCTGTAATCAGGCTTGTGGCAGGTCACCCATTTCATTCATTGATCCCTGCATGAGAATAGTTTATGCTGGCTACAATTTGGATTTTTTTTTTTTTAAGTTTTATTTTTTCCATGGGGGGAGAGGTGAAGAGAGAGGGATGAGCATCTCTAATAGGATCTTTTTTTGTTTTTTTTATTGGAGAGGTTTTTGCTATAGGACGCGTGCGCTCACTAGACAGAGACAGAGAGACAGAAAGCAAGAAATCACCCCCCCCCGGGGGGGGGAATGGCCACGCTGCAATCCCTTCTCCTCCAGTCTCCTCTCAGGATCTTGGGCACGCACGCACACGCGCCCGGCTTGAGTTTTAAGCCACCAGGTCCGGGACGTGAACCGCGGTCGACTACATTGGAGTCCAGCAACATAGCCATTACGCTAACTGCTGGTCCCTCTAATAGGATCTTCACACCACAGTCTCCCTCCAGCCTCAATCAGCCAGGGTCACAGGTGAGACCTTGGGATGAGAACCTGGGACCTTCCCGAGACTTTTACCTTTGTGGAGTGTTGACTTAACGTGCCACAAAGCTAGGCAGTCTTTTTCTTAAATTAGTTGTTTCTTGGTTTAGTACTACCCTTGTCTTAGAATGTTACTAACTTTATTCCTTTAGCTGTAGTGATAATGACATGTACTTTATTTTGTGGATGTTTTTCCTCTCTCAGAGCAAATGTAAAATTCATAGAGGTAGTTGGCAATCAGTTCTAAATCCTAATCAGTTCTAAAATCCTACTCCCCTTTTATTCCCCTCATATTTTAATATAGCCTAAATCAGAATTTATCTTCTAGTTATTGTCCGTTTCCCTGAATGGTACATATTCTATAACTGATGGCCTCTTAGATTCAGGAACTGTGGTATTTATTGTTCAATTCCCCAGGCTCCTAATATCTCATATTTTGTAAAATCTGAAGGAACAAAAGCCAAAAACACTTAAGCATCATATTCCTAGTGCTGTCACACCCCAGTCCATAGTGAAAGGAGAAAATCAAAAATCTTCTCTCAAATGGAAGAAGCTGGTAAATATCGGCCAGGTGTGTGAACTCTATACCGATAATTAAAATTTAATTGTTAAAATATTTTAAGCGCAATGCACCTTAGCAATAAGAATTTTCTACTTTTTAAACATGACCTTAACATTCATTTAAAAAGTACAGTTCCCTGTCTGGTTTCCTTTGGCTTTTCTGTTGGCAGTTAACACATACTTTTAAGGTTTAGGTAGCTTTTTTTCTTTGCCTTTCTTTCTTTCAGCTGGACTGACTTTAGGAGCCAGAGTCTTGCAATGGTTTTCCTGATGTCTGATTCCTTGTACTACTACTTAATATTCTGTGTGCTACCTTCTACATGGTGGTTGCTCAATAAATAGATTTTGATTGAGGGAAATGATGCTGAAAGTGATTCTTTGGTTTGATGTTAAATATTTGCAATTTTTGAAAAAGGTGAGCTTGTTTAGGGTTTTAATTCCAAGCCTTTGACCTAGAAGAATGTCTTATGGAGATACAGATTTATTTATGTTAGATTTTTTTTTTTCCTTATTGTGAATCCAGGTCTACCTGTCTAGTTGTTTATTTTTCTTTTACTCTAGAGAGAGATTTTTGCTTTAGGGCATGTGCACTCACCAGAGAGACAGAAAAGGAGAAGTCACCTCCTGGAGGGTGGCCATGCCACAAGCCCTTCTCCCATTCTTCTCTTGGGATTTTGGACTCCCATACACATGCGCCCGGCATGAGTTTTAAGCTGCTGGTTCCGGGACTCACACCGCGGTTGACCATGTGGAAGTCCAGCAACATAACTTTTACATCATCTTCTGGTCTCCAGTTGGTTCTTTTCTCAGTCAGCAGCGAAGTTATTCATTTTTAGGATGCAATTCTAAATTGGAATTTAAGAATTTATTATACAGTAGTTTCCTCTTATTCATGGGGGATACTGTTCTAAGACCACTGGTAGATGCCTGAAATTGTTGATAGTGCTCTGTATATACTGTGCTTTTTAGCTCTGGTAACCAAGAGGGCAACTAAGTGTCTCATGGGCAGACAGCATATACAGCATGGATATGCTGGACAAAAGATGGTTCACATCCTGAGTGGGACTGCACAAGATTTTACTGTGCTACTCAGGATGGTGAGCGATTTAAAACTTAAGAATTAAATTTTTGTACCACAATTGAGCATGAAACCGTGGGAAGCAAGACCATGGATAAGGAGGACCACTGCACTAGTAATGGAACTTTCTGCTGATGTGCCCTGACACACAAGTAACTCCTTGCAGGTGGCTCATCCCAGTGTGTTTTGGGATAATGATGACTTCTGACCTAAGGCCTATGGCTAGACCATATTGCTTATTTTAAAGCATTAATATCTGGTTTAGCCAGCTGAGTCTGCTTGTTTGATTTTAGCCCATCATTGTGTCTTTTTATAACTTCTTAGGCAACCTTTAGATAGGCTTCAAGTTCAAAGTCACATATTTACTGAATTATCTTTCTTTAAAGTTTTGTTTTCTTCCCAAGCCTCACATTTTGCTTTCCTTACATTATTTATAGCTTCTATTTAGGAGTTGTTAACATGCCTTATGCATTTACTCAGTAACTTGTTGAGTCTTCAGTGGCTGCTTCACCACATGTTTTCTTTGATTTGTGAAAGTTTGTATTATACTTTCGAGCATGTTCAGTATTTGTTTTGTGCTTATTCTGTCCTTACCTCTGGAACAGTGATTTTTTTTTCTAGCCAGGGCTTCATATTTAACTTGTCTGAGCGTTTTCTCCAAAGTATGTGGTCGCTTCACAAAAGCTGTGAAGGTTACCCTGGTTCAGAAAGTCTGCTTGAGTAGGATGGGGCTTTCTCTTTTGCAGTATTTTCAACTGACCACTGACCTCTGTGCACTGTTACTATTACAGCTCATTTCTTTTTAATTAAATCTAGACTGTAGCTCTTCAAAAGTAATTTTTACTTCAATCTGTAGATTATATGTACAATGACAAGAAAATTCTTACAAGATAGGCTAAAAATATGTGAGTCTTCATTTCCTCCCTTCTGTAAGGAAGAGGGTATTAAGGGAAATGGAATTTACACATGCTTGAGCCTGAATTTTAGGGCCATTCTCTATGGTATGACGTAATCTAGGCAGTTCCATGCCCCTTGCCTCGTTAACAAGTGAGGATCTGACCAGAGTGTAGTTCCTCTTCTGTGAGGAAGCCAGGCGTATGTACCCTGTGGGCTGTGGACAGGGATTTGGAGGAGCTGATCATGAAATTGAGGTTTCTACCACAGACCTGACTGTGGAAGAGATCAAAGAATGCCACAGAATCGGTTTCGTTTTTTTGTCTTATTTGTAATTTGCTAGAAGATGCATACACTCACCTGAGAGATGGGGCTAGGATGGGAGGACAGGGTAAGAAAGCACTGCTCTCCATGGAGCGTGATTATGCTGCAGTCCCTTTCCCTTTTCCTCCATTTCCCTGTCCTTTCCGGATTTGGGGTGCACTTATACCAGCCGTATTTCTCAAGCCACTGGGTCTGGGACTCAAATGATATAATCAGCCATGTGAAGTCCAACCTCCTGCTCCTACCAGGCCATGTGCTGGGCCTTGGTAGTTCTTCCTTGTGTTCCAAGGCACAGTAGTTTCTCTGTAGTGGATGTTAATAGTCCAGCATTATCATATGTGGATATTGTCAAAACTAGGATGAGTGTGTTTTATTTATTAAATGTGGTTATGTGTATATCACAATACTGAAAGTATTGAAAAGTGTCAGATTTCATTCTCAGAGACAGCTGTTCAGTAATCAGTGATAGTCAAGACTTTTATTACTTCCAAGGTGAAAATTTAAAGCTAAGAGAACTAAGCCTTGAACAGTGTCATAGAGAAGCATGTTTTACTCTTATGTATTGTATGTTTAATTAGTTTCTGTCATGTGTTTTGGTAGCTGCAAAGAGCTGTTCTGGCAAGGTTAAAGAATTTTCTCTGGTTTTCTTCTCTGCCTCTGACTTTGTTTTGCTTTGCAGGACTACAAAGCTGATGAAGACCCAGCATTATTCCAGTCAGTCAAGACCAAGCGAGGCCCTTTGGGACCCAACTGGAAGGTACTGGATGCTGACCTTTCTGACAGGCAGAGTCTTGGCAACAGAACACTTGACAGGTCCTGAGTCTTGAAGAGCTCATGACGTTTAAGTGAAAAATAGAAATGGCACAAAAATAGTTTTATTTGCAATAAGGACTTACAGCCAGTTGCAGTTGGCCAGCAAGTCTGTGCTGCATTAACAAACAGAACAGAGCCAGACTGTCACTTTCTGCATAATGCTATTCTGATAACTCTTAAAAGAGACAAGTGATTTAGTCTTTGGGGATTGTAATGTTCTCTTTTGAGACTTGAAACAGTATAAAAATTCATGTTAAATGAAGGTTTATAGTTCAAGTTTAGTTTTAGTAAAAACTGAACACGTTCCCTTCACCCAAGCTTGTGTTCCTGGCCTTTTAATAGCTGCATTTTTGGAAAGCAGGACAGATACAGAAAAGCAGTTTTTATGGTAAGTAGTTGTCAAATAAAGAGCACACCTTTACTTTATTCTTGAAAACAAAAGCAATGTCAAGGTAATCATTTAAATTGCTATAGAAGTGTGATATGTTTTAAAGACATTGGATAAACTAAATGACAAACTCTTAAAGAAGCTTAATGGCAAGTTATCACAGCTAATTTGACAGGAGAAGAGGAGCATAAGCACCTAAACATGCCCAAGGCAAGTTTTCTACCCACAGGGTTTTGATAACCATTCCATTTGTGCTGAAGACAGTCACAGGTCATTGATAAATGATGTCTGGGTCCTGGTTGCTCGCAGTTAGAGGATTACTGGTGCAGCCCACAGGTAACTCATCGAGTGCTACTCATGGCTGACAGGCTCTTCCATGGACTGTCTTGCACATCAACTAAAGGGGGAAGATGAATCTGTTTTGTAAGAAATGATTCATAACTATCTTATTTTCACACTCATTCTATGTTCAGTTGAAATTCTCCCAATTTAATGGCCATGACGGGAAACGTTTAACTTAATACCCAGAAAGTTCTATGTGTCACTTATAAATGAAGAACAAATTCAGTGTGCATGACCTAAATGTACTCTTACAGGTTTTTAAACTGCCTCACCCTTTTCTAGATTTCTAGCTGTAGACCTTAGAATTCACTCTGAGTCAGAGAGAGGCCCTCCTCCTTTAAGGTGAAGTCCTGGTCTTTTAAAGCAGCAGACAGGTAGCTGACTGCCTCCACGGTTGCCTTGACTTCTGAACACGCACTGGGCTCCAATGAGTACTGACTCTGTTGCTCATGATACTGTTACAGGGAGCAAGGGGTATGAGGCTGAGATCGGGTGAATTAAGTATTGAATTTTCTTTAGATTATCACTTTTTCAAGGCAGTGCCACATTACATGGTAGGCTATTATGCTTGGACTCAAGTCTTCATGTAGAAACTGCTAGTTTTTTTTTTTTTTTTTTTTTTAAGAGCATGGAGGAATAGGAGAAGGGGTGGGGGGGATGAATTTTTGGCCAGGCCTTGCAGTTGTGCAATTCTTCTGTCCCAGCCTCCCAGTGAGCTAAGATCGTAGAGACCCACCACCACACCTGGCCTGTTTATTTTGGATGGGGAACTGAACACAAGCTTCCCATGCAGCCTCAGCCACTGCACAGTGGTACTTTTTACCCACTCCACTGTGGCTAGGCCCTATCTGATTTTATAACTGGCAGCAAAAGTAGTTTGACTCTGAATTTTACCTGATTTCCAGCTTTTAGGAACTTGGAGTTTTATACATTTAAGATAAGTTGTTATATGGCACATGCACTTGCTAGGAGACTGAGAGACAGAAAGTGAGAAATTACCCCCCAGGGGGAATGACTGTGCCACAGTCCTTTCTCCTCTAGGGATTTTGGGCACACATGCACATGTACATGGTGCAAGTTTCAAACTGCCAGGTCTGGGACTCAAACTGTAGTCAGGCATATGGGAGTCCAATGCCTTAAACACTATGCCATCTGTGGTCCCAATTTTTACCTTTTTAACAATGATACTGCTTTGTCTTTTATTATTGAGTAGTGATTTTTTAAAATTTCTAGAATAGGTTTCTTTTTTTTTTTGGAGAGGTTTTTGCTATAGGGCGTGTGTGCTCGCCAGACACACAGAGAGAGACATAGAGACAGAAAGCGAGAAATCACCCCCCAGGGGGGATGGTCACGCCGCAATCCCTTCTCCTCCATTCTCTTCTCAGGATCTTGGGCACACACACACACACACACACACGCTCCCGGCGTGAGTTTTAAGCCACCGGGTCCAGGACGCGAACTGCGGTCGACTACGTGGGAGTCCAGCGACATAGCCATTACGCTAACTGCTGGTTCCAAGAATAGGTTTCATTTTTAGAAATACTGTGAATTTTAGTTTTTACATGTTGCAGGATAGCAGCCTCTTCTCCCATTTTTTTTTTCTGTGTTAAATTAGTAACTTTTTATTGCTCTGGTAGAATGCTGGCTCATAGTGATATCTTTTTACCTATTTGCCTATTGGTTCTTCATAGCCAAATTTATAAAAATTAAGTTAATGCTTAACTGAGCTTTCAGTAAATTACTGCAATCACACAAATAAGGTAATCAAGAATAATTAAAGCAACCATTTTCTACTGCAAAGGAAAATAAAGAATAAGAAGGATGACAGTAACTGCTAACATAACGTAGCAAAATAAGAGTCAGTGGGCTTGGGGGACCAGCAGTTAATGTAATGGCTATGTCGCTGGACTCCCACATAGTCGACCATGGTTTGTATCCTGGACCCGGTGGCTTAAACTCACGCTGGGCACGCGTGCGTGCATGCCCAAGATCCCAAGAGGAGAATGGAGGAGAAGGGATTGTGGCGTGGCCATCCCCCCTGAGGGGTGATTTCTCGCTTTCTGTCTCTATGTCTCTCTCTGTCTGTCTGGCGAGCGCACGCGCCCTATAGCAAAAACCTCTCCAAAAAAAAAAAATGTCAATGGGCTTGATCTTATCAGTTTCTTTGTAAATGTGTCTGGCAGGCCATCTTTGTCAGTAATTGTCCTTATGCCACTGAGGGTAACACCAGAGAAGGATGATGGTTAGATATTTCTTTGCCTCTGGAATATGAGGAAATGAGAGGGAAGAAATAGTTGGTGATTTTTTTTAAAGAATTATTTTATTTAGCTTTATTTATTATTATTATTTTCCAGTTTGATCAGCCAGAGAGAGAGAGAGAGAGAGAGAGAGAGCGAGCGAGCGAGCGAGAGAGAAAGTGAGAAAGTGAGAAAGAAAGCCACCAGATCCAGGACTCAAACCATGGTCAGCCATGTGGGAATGTCCTGTGCCTTAACCACCATGCTACCTGCTGGTCCCAATACTTGGTGATTATGGTGAAGAAAAAGAAGGCATCTTCCTCTGGACTCCTTTACCCAGGTTGTATGGGGGAGAGAGCTCTTGCATGGCATCTCTCATTAGGCCTTCCATGAGCCATCCCACCCATGCTGTGCTGCAGGCTAAGTGCAAACCTCTGGATCTCTTTGAAGCTTTTCCTTCTTTTTCCCTGGTACTATTTTCCCCCTGAATTCTTACAGTTTTTACTGTCTCTCTGCTCTAGTCTGATAAGAGAAAATAAAAATAAACTTTTTCTCAATGGCAGGTACTGTACAAAGTCACATGAAATCTTCACAACCTTTCTATAGTGTAAATAGAGCTGCTTCACTTTATAGATGAGAAGGTCAGCCAGAGAGACGTTGATAGTTATAGGCGTAATAGCACAGGGTCAGCCATTTCTTTGGCAGCTGATTCAGTGCTAGTCCCAGAAGTGTGTAAAGTGTGGGGATGTGGCAGACTCTGCCTCTCAGCTCAGAGGCTCCCAGGTTATGATCTGCACCTTTTATCCTCTGTTGTATCATGGCAATTGTGCAAGTCTCTGTATCTGTGGTATTTGCCAGAATTTGACCATTCTTGTTACACCTGTGGTATGTTTCCAGTGGTCAGGGAATCTGTAGGTGACTGAGGGACTGAGAGGTCCAGAGCTCCATTTTAAAAATCCACTGTGAATCTCTACAAGTTGTGACTTAATATCCCTAACTCTGAGCCCAAGTTTACAATTGAGACAATATTACTAATTGTCAGAATGTTGTTATGAAGAGAAAATGAAATACTAAATGTTAGGTTCCCAACAGAGAGGGAAGCGCACAATAAATTGTTAGCTACTATTGTCCTCATGCTTTTATCTTTGAAAAGAAAAAGACTTTTTACCTCTTGGGGTTGACAAGTCTATGAATATGCTGCTGTATTTATGAGAGTGCCTTATCTCTATCTGGTATACTGGTTTCCCCTCATTCTACACTAGCATGTGGGGTTTAATTTTTAAAAACTCTGGTCTACTTGTCCTTTCCCTTCATGGTTATATGAGTTTAGTGAATGCTTTACTTGAGTCAGCCATAAAGCAGAGAGCCACACAGTTTAGAAAGCCATTGCTAGCAGGGCATGATGGCTAATGTAAGAAATAGATTTTCTTAATTTCTACATTTGCAGAGAGTATAGGCTGTTTCATTAGCCCATGGTATGATACTTAAAAAAAAAAAAAAAAAAAAAACACAAAAAAAAAAAAAAAAAACACGCCTTTGTTTTGTTTTCTATGAATATGCTGCTGTATTTATGAGAGTGCCTTATCTCTATCTGGTATACTGGTTTCCCCTCATTCTACACTAGCATGTGGGGTTTAATTTTTAAAAACTCTGGTCTACTTGTCCTTTCCCTTCATGGTTATATGAGTTTAGTGAATGCTTTACTTGAGTCAGCCATAAAGCAGAGAGCCACACAGTTTAGAAAGCCATTGCTAGCAGGGCATGATGGCTAATGTAAGAAATAGATTTTCTTAATTTCTACATTTGCAGAGAGTATGTTTCGTTTCATTAGCCCATGGTATGATACTTAAAAAAAAAAAAAAAAAACAGGCCTTAGTTGTGGATTTATTTTCCTTAAAAGTTTTTTTTTTTTTTTTTTGGTAAAGATCTGAGCTCATGAATTATGTGTAGTTGTTTGGATTACTTTAACACTTGATT